AACCTTCCTTCCAAGGAGTGGCTGGTGGGTTTGAACCGCCAGCCTTCTGGTTAGCAGTCAAGTGCCTTAGGCACTATGCTACCAGAGCTCCTCCATAGTATTAATTATCGTGACTATAATAAATAGGTTTCTTGCTTTTCTATCTTCTTCCCTCCTTCCTTCTCTCAATTCCCCACTTTTAGAATACGATCCTCCATTCTTTTCTTGAAATACTTGGGACCAGCTGAGTTTCAAAAGTCAGAATTTTCCAGATGTTAGAAAGGCATTATGGTGCATATAACATGTATTTATGTTATATATCCAAAACATTCCCCATGAATTAAGCACACTTATAGTTCTGCAGGGAAATATATGAATACTCACATGCAAGGGCAAAAATAAAGCCTCCTGTCAATTCTAGTTAGTTTGTGCTACCAAATGAGTTCAAGTCAGGTAAGGGCTGATCTTGTTGCCAAACATGTTACCAAACAACTATTCCAATTTTTAGAGAGTTTGGAATTGGAGGTAAGAGGCTATAGACCTTTTGTACTCTAACCGTCCCCAATGTTCTTGTCTCAGTTCTAGCACTTACTCCAAAGATCTCATGCATTTCAATGTCTCTCACAGTACTGGACATGTGCCAGACATTCATCTTGTTTGTTAATGAACAACTGAAGCCATGGAGAGTCTCAGAAAAGCAGCAAAACCGCCCTTTCCAGCTCCACTGCTCCCAAAGCACAGCAATGTCACCGTTGTGGCCTCTAACAGTCAGTAGGTGCTGTCATCACCACACTATCTGAGACAGTCACAAATGGACCCCACCCAGCACTCTCTCTCTAAGCCATTCCGGAAAACATCGCTTGATAATGGGCTAAGAAATTGGAGTAACAAACTACTTTCTCACCCCAGCAATGCAGGTTGGGTGGTATATAAGTGACCATCCCAGGAGCTTAACTTACTCAGAATTAAGCAAAAGGAAGAACCATAGAAAGAGAGATCAGGATGGTGAACGGTGTGGTGAAGAGAGGGAAAGGAAAAGAACACACCAGATGTACAAGGGATAAGGTTCCAGAAACATCAGCTCAATGCACGTGGGCTGACCTCAAGTTAGCTGTCATGAAAGTAAGGAACAAATGCCCCAACCAGTAGAAATTCGATCCATAAACATAATCAGTTTACCATCTCCCCAACTTCTACCAGATAGCCATTCACACAAGGAGCAGAAGGGGAAGTATAGAAGAAAAGGAAAAGGACGCATATGGCTTATTGGTGGTTAGAGCCACATATCAATATAGAAGGTGCACCATAGTATCTGATCCCAGAATTCTCCGGCTTCATTCCTCTACTTTCAGCTTGATTCACAACAGCCTCGGGGACTTGATGTTCTTCACCCAGATGTCTTCATCATTCACTTGCTTGCCTTCAGCCGTTCCTGGCGCAATGGTCAACCTCTCAGTGAGGCCTTTCCTAAGGATTGTTTGAAAATCGTATCCACTCGCCCACCTCCAGCTCTCCTTACCTGCCTCCTCTGCCTTACTTCTCCCCATAACCCTGCAGTTGTTCGGTACCATCAAGTCAATTCCGACTCACAGCAAACTCATTTGACAGAACAGCTCCATAGGGTTTTCTAGGCTGTAATCTTTACAGGAGCAAATTGCCAGGTCTTTTCTGTAGCGGAGCCACTGAGTGGGTTTGAACTGTCAGTCTTTCTGTATGCAACCAGGCAGGACTAACTCTTCTCCCACCAGGGCTCCTTCCATAACAGTGAGCACCCTACATATATATGTCAGTTAGTTTATTTTCTGTCTTCCCATCCCTGAAAAGTCAGCTCCACAGGGGCAGAGATTTGGGGGTTTGTTTCTTCTGAGTCTCCAGCACCTAAAACATTGCCTGGCACTAAACAGACATGTAGCAAACACTCTTTCAAATGAATAAAATGGTCCGTGAATCCTCAGAATCACAGAACATAGAAACTGGAAGGAACTTGATAGCATTTTAGAGGAGAGGTGTGTCACACTTCTAGTTAGTACTGTTGGGAGCATGTTAAGCTTTCCTATTCATTCAAATGAACCTCCTTCCTCCCTCTCACTCTTACTGCACAGAAGCTAACATGGACCAGGGTAGTCTAAGATGAAGTGACTGGGTGCAGTGTAGGCTTCTCCGTGATTTGGTACTCAAACAAAAGCACACTCTCATCAGGGCACATTTCTTCCAGTTCCTCAGAGAATTCAGAGACTGCTGTGCCACAGAACCCAGAATGAAGAAAACCTGGAAGCTCCGCTGAGGAAGGTGAAGAGGAGGTAGGAGGCAGAGTGAGGGAAATAAACTGTTGGGAAGAAGGAGGTGGGCGGAAAATGAATTTGCTTGATAACTTCCACCCAAGTCACAACAAAAATTTAAAAAACTAAAAAAAGGGAGGGGGCCTGGCAACATGGAACAAGAAGCCCAGAAGCTTTGGGCACAAGTTATCCAGCAGAGCCTCCCTGCAAGCACTTAGCAAACCAAAGCCAGCTACTCGGCAACTTTAACCTTCAAAAGGCCTACAATGAGAATAAAGTAGGGAGGCCAACCTGCAGAGCGTTTTCCAACTTCTTGCCTCTCGAACCTCTAAGTTCAAAAACAAGGACAAGGTGTAAGAGCTGTGGCAAGAACCTCGGCTTCTGGACAGCAGTGATTAAGGGAACCAGATAACCGTAGAGAGAGAGAGACGCGCGCACTCTTCCAGTCTGTTGCCTCTAGGAGAAAGCGCGCGACGGGATGCCCTAGTGAGAAGCGCCTGAGGAACAAGTGTACTTCAAGGCTGGAAAGTAGAAATTTGACAAGGCGGGTGGGAGTCGGGGGAACTTTTGCAAAAAACGAAGAGGGACTTGAAGACAAGAGGGGCCCAGCAAACAGAAAAGTGCAGCGGAAAATAAAAACAAAAACAAACACACGTTACCTTGCAGCCGTCCCTCTGGCCCAACCCCTGTGGGGCTTCCCGCGGCAAAGCAGCAAAGGATACTCCGAAGACAGAGCAGGGGAACCAGGCTCTTCATCCTTCCCCGCCACGCCCCCTCCCTGAAACTGTGGACCCAAATCAACACCCAAAAAAGTCCACCCTGGGAAGACCAGAGGGGGCAGCCCTCTCTCCAGCGGCAGGCGGTGGGCTAGGGAATTGATGCAGGGCGACAAGGACGGAGAAGGTGGAAAAGGAACACTTGGTTCGACCGCGGCGCGGGCAGGTGGGGCTGTGAAGGGCCTGAGAGCCAGGTCTTGCCTGCACCCTGCGCGCGCCGCGAAGCTCGCTGGCCGCTGTCACCTCGCTAGCTCCCGGCGAGGTAGAGTTTAAAGGATCGGAGTCATCTGACCCATCGCCAGATGGTTATTTGCATAATTTATGCCCGTCCCTGGATTCTCATTGGTCACACCTTCGCTGACGCCTGCAGCAAGACTCTCCAAAGTTTGAATGAAAGCGCCGCACACCCTCCGCGTGGAGGTTCAGTGCTCGCAGCAGCGAGCTCTCCGCCGCCTGCTTCGCTGCCTGCCGCGTCTTCTGCCACTTGCTTCCTACTAATGCGGTCTCCCGGAGCCTAGACCCACCGCTCTCCCTTTTTGCCCCGCGGAGAGCATCTCCCCAAAACTTTGCACCCATTGAGGGCATGATCCCTAGAGAAGGAAGGTTATCCTCTCCAAGGTGCAAAGCAACCCCCGCACCCTGGTCCGAGAGTTGGATGAGAGAGAATGGTCACCCCCTTGGTCCTTCTCGCTACCCTGCCACCAGCGAGGCCGGGGACTGGTGCGGGAGCCAGGCGTAGACAACTCCATCGGAGTATACCCGGCGCCGCTGAGATGCCGTGGGTTTTGTCTGGGTTGCATAGTCTCTGCTTGGAGCCTGCATGCCGTCACTTACTCTGTGCAAAATTCCAGAAAAACCACTGAACTTCGTGGCAGTTCCCTGGTCCGCAATATGGGGCTAATAATATTTCCTGCTGCTCGGGGGTGTTGAGAAAATTGACCGAGATACTGCGGTGAAGCGCTTGGCGCTGCGCCTGGCACGTGGTGAGTGTTCTCTTACGGTGGGGACAGAGGACTAGAAGGACCCAAGGCAAGGCGACAATCCTCACCCGGAGCTTTGGACCAGGGCGGGGGCGGGGTGTCTAAGGGGCGTTGTAGGTGCTGACCCTCCGCGGACTAGAAGGAACCACCTGTGAATGGAATCCAGCTATTTCTTCGCTCCTCCATCTTTTTTCCCCCTCCTCTTCTTTCCCCCTAAGGGAGCTCTGGTGGCGCTGTGGTTGAAGCATTGGGCTGCTAACTAAAAGGTAGGCGGTTCGAACCCGCCAGCATCTCCACGGGAGCATGAGGCAGTCTGCTTCCACAAGGATTTACAGCTTTGGAAACCCTATGGGGCACTTCTATTCTGTCCTATAGGGTCGCTGGGAGTCGGAATCAACTCCACGGCAGTGGGTTTGTTTTGTTTGTTTTTTGGTTGTTTCCCTCTACCATTCTTGGAGGCTTCTCCTCCCCGCAGGTCCCTCTCCGGCTCCGCTTGCCGATCCCTGGGCTGAGAGCAGCTAGCCGGTGATCTCGGCTCAGAGTCGAGTCCCGCGCAGGGAAGCAGGACTGAGCCCCGGCACCCGCCTGGAGGCGGCCGGGGTAGCTTGGGGAGGGCTGTGCGTTTCAGCAGCCCCTGGGGACGCAGAGCGGGTGGGAGAGGTAGAACGGGCTGTGCGAGGTGGCACTCTTGACCGCGATTAACCCCCCGGGGCCCGGCGGGGCGCGAGGGAGCCAGCCCAGCTCAGGGAACCGCTCAGCGCCCAGCCCTGCCTTGTGTGCGAGACCCGTGTGGAAACCCAGTCAGGAAGGAGCAGGTTCCGGCCTCTTGTTAGTTTTTTCACTCCTGCTGCCAACAGAAGCCCACTTGTCCTGAGCGCTACAACTCCTTGAGGACAGGCAGGCTGGCTTTCTGAGTGTAAGACTCATGCACTTTATAAAAGAGATGGTAAAGGCTCCCAGATGCTTTCTTCTGCCCCCTTTCCCCTCTCCACTGGCAAACTACACAGAGGGATAAGCCAGGTTATCTATTTTAAAGATGGAAAAAAATGAGGCATGGATACTGGCTGGAGCACTGAAGGAAGCTTCCTGAAACCAAGTCTCTCTGCTCTGCTCTGAGTTTGATCTGGCCACTTGATCTCTGGATATGAGTCCTTGGCAACTCTGTCTCCACCTCTTCAGTGGCTCTAGATAGTGAATAACTGGTAACTGTAAATTCCCTTCTGGTTCAGAGATCCTCAAAGCCACAAAGACTCCCTGGACAGCCTGGAGGATGAGTCTTGGCAGCCATTGTCATAGGTGAGAGCCCCTACGGAGCTAGATATTTCTACAAAGTTGGTTACCCTGCCTGAGGGGAGGAAAAAAATTCAGATTGGACAATAACAACATCCACTCTTTAAACTAAAACTATGAAAGTGTTTCCGTGTATTACTTATTGGTTACAGTGCCCTCCTGTGTCTCCAGATCATAATATCATGTAAGAACTTGCGAAGGACATCAGGAAATTTTATCACAGCATTAGAGCATGAACCGTTATGCTTCTTTGTCACTAAAAGAGCAGTGGAGAGATCTGGGGAGTTTCCCATGTGGAGACATTCCCAGCTGGGGAATCTCACCAGAAACTTCTGTTTCTATTTCAGTCAAAATTCCAAGGCCTTGGGCTACCACAACAGAGGACCCTGGTGGTTCTTTCTGGTGGCCCAGCATTTGAAGACCCTTTCAGTCATCAATGAGATGACTCTCACTCTTATGAGAGGAGCCCACTTTCCACAAAGCCTGGCACACAGAAAGAGCCCATTTAACGTTTCCTTGTGTTTTTGGGGGGGGGGCAGGGAGGTGGTATTGTGATTTGGATGAAACTGTACAGAACAAATTGGTTTTCCATTCAGCAATTCACATACATGTTGTTCATGACATTGGTTGCAATTCCCACAGTCTAACAGCACTCTCCCCACTTCCTCCCTGTGTGTACAGTTCCACTCATCCTTCTTTCCTATCCCTTCCTGCCTTCTGAGCTTTATCCTTGGGCAACTGCTGCCCTTTTGATTTCATATAGTTGATTGTGCTAAGGAGTGCATACTTCCCTGATGTTATCTTTCATCTTATATGCCTACCTTAGGCTGAAAGTTGAACCCCGGGGTTGAGTTCAGTTCCAGGTGTGGAGGGTGTCTAAAGGCCACAGTCCCAGAGATTCCACCAGTCCCTATCAAACCAGTAACCTGGTCTTTTAAAATGATTTTTAGTTTTGTTCCACGTTTGTCTCCCACTCTATCCAAGACCTCCTATTGTGATCCCTTTCAAAGCAGTCAGCAGTGGTAGCCAGGCACCATCTAGTTCTTCTGGTCTCAGAGTCATGGAGGCTGTGATTCCATGGGGTCCATTACTCCTTTGGACTAATTGTTTCCATGGATCTTTGATTATCTTCACTCTTCTTTGCTCCGGATGGGGAGAGACCAAGTTGCACCTTAGATGGCCACTCACAAGATTGTAAGATCCCAGTTCCTACTCACCAAAGCCCATTAAATATTTGTTGAATGAGCTAGAAACCAGCCAGACTTCACACACTTCTTTTAGGAGGGGTGGTGAGTGGTAAAGGAGCATTGGTTGTGCTATGGTTAAAACACTCAGCTGCTAACTGAAAGATTGGTGATTGGAACCCCCCAGCTGCTCCACAGGAGAAAGATGTGGCAGTATGCTTCCACAAAGATTACAGCCTTGGTAGGCAAGGAGTAGTGTGTCCATGATCATGTATAAGGTTGGCAGATGGCATTTCCACATGTATATTTGTATGTGCTGTAAGAATGTCTGGGTATATAGTAGAGCTGACAAGGGGCATGCCATACCCAGCTACCCTGAGGGAGTGAGTAGTTGGACCTGTGGGCTCGGGATCATGGTCACAGGGGACATCAAGCTCAACTGGCATAACATATTACACAGAACCATTGTTCTACATCCTACTTTGGTGAGTAGTGACTGGGATCTTAAAAGCTTGCAAGCGGCCATCTGGATGCAACAATGGGTCTTTCCTCATCCAGAGCAAAGAAGAATGAAGAAAACCAAAGACACGTGGAAACAATTAGCCCAAGCAACTAGTAGATCATGTGATCCTCAGCCTATGAGACCAGAAGATCTAGACGGTGCCCAGCTACCACTGTCAACCAATCAGAAAGGGATCTGTGCAGAAGAATGGGAGAACAGAGTGGAACGAAACTCAAAAATCATTAAAAAAAAAAAAACAGATTTCTTGGTCTGATAGAGCCTGGTTCTATCCCTGAGACTGTAGTCCCTAGTTACCCTTTGGGTCTGGAACTGAACTCACTACTGTGGCTTCCAGTCAAACAATAGACAGGTATATGGGGTGGACATTTATATCAGGTAGATACACTCCTCGGAGTGTGGGAGAACAGGCGGCCAGTGTTTGCACAGGGAGATAGCTCGGGGTGGGGGAGTGCATGGGAAGGAAGGACACAGGGAAGAGGTAACTATGAGGAGGAAGTGGGAAGAGAGCTGTTGCATTATGGGGAATTGCAGTCAATGTCATGAAACAAAATGTGTATGAAATGCTGTATGGAAAATGAATTTCCCAAAGAGATGCACACAGAGAGGCTGTGAGGTAGAGGGACTATGTTAGGCCACAAATGGACCAAAACCACAAGTGAGCCAAAGCAAGCCTTGAAGTAAAAAAAAAAAAAAAAAGACACACAGAGGAGCAGGTGAAGAGCAGCCCCTAAGAAGATAAAAGCATCGAAAACAGAGAAGAGAGCCAAGTCACAGCAATGGTGATGCACAAGGCTAAGGCCTAGATCCATGAATTCTGTTGTTCAGATTGCCAGACCTGCCTTTGACAGGTGGTTCTCAAAGTGTGGTCCCTGGATCAGCAGCATCAGCATCCCCTGAGAGCTAGTTAGAAATACAAATTCTCATGCGCCATTCCAGACCTACTGAATCAAAACTCTGAGGATGGGGTCCAGCAATCTGTGTTTTGTTTGGTTTGGTTTTATTA